CAGAAGCAGAATGGAAATGTTTGAGCGCTAGATCTCTGGTTGTATGGCGGAGGTGGGATTTCTATGTTTCAGAGACTTGCACACTTCGCGCCGATCTTTTTCGCCGCGCGGCAGCTTCAATGGAACAGACTTTTGATGGTATTGGCTTTATGAGGTTGTTTCTGGGCGTGTTCCTCGTAACTATCGGCTCGGTCGTCAATTCTGAGCTTGAATGTTGGCGACGGTTAACAAGTTTGCAGTCTTCCAGCGACGAGGCTAAGCTAGAGAGGACGTAAATCTTGGTATTGAGGTTCAGTGCGGAGTTTGGGGTCTGAAGAGAGTGTTGACTGGCTCGTCGGGCACAACTGACACTTATTTCAGCGGTCCTTAGTATGGTTTGGAGAGGATCTCGAATCGTATTCTGAATTTGCTAGACTTTACCAACGGCGTTGATGAGCTCCCTTGATGGAAGTTATGCCCAGACATGTCTTAACTCTGGGCGAGGAAGAGAATACGAGGGTCAATTGCTTTCTTTGTATGTTGTACTTACCGAGACTGCTTCTTTGAGAGGGCTGGTTTTCGGGTCCTTTCGTGTCCCCTGGCGATCTAGGCCTCTAGCGTATAGGTTGAGCTCATTTTCGAGATTCTTTTGAATCGGTGTCAATCCGGGGCAAGCTGACATTGATAGGACTATCCCTCGCTGTGATCTAGAGATGAGCCACGGTAGCCTTTAGATTTAGACTCAAAGTGAAGCGAAGTGAACGCCCAATAGATACGTCACTTTCCCGATGAAACATGGGTAGAAATAGCCCTCACTTGTACAGGTAAAAGTCCCTCCCATACTTGATGAAGTAGCGCCGTGTGCTGGCTGACGAACAGGTGATCTTATGCCTCCGAGTCCCCGAGCAGAGAGGTAGAAGTAGAGAACGTCTTCAATTGAAGATAGAAACCCTTGACCGAGGCAACGGTCTCAGAAGTGGGATATAAAACCCCTTACGTGATGAGGTCTGCCACGAGGTCTCTTCGATATTGCCAGTCTACCGAGCGCCCATGAATGTTGCTCGTCCGTTGGCCGAGACCTAGGTCTTATAATCTCTCGGCTTCATTCATGACATTAGGAGTCTCATGACAGCGAGTTGATTCTGGATTTCTGCCGTTACACAACGGGAAGGAGCTCTGTGCCTTCCTCCTTCGTCTATAGCGCTTGGTTATCCATCGCCAATATACCTCTATTTAAGGCACTCAAATCGACCAAGTGACTTAGCCTAGGGCCCAACATAAGTCCAGAAGCTACACTACCTAAGAGAACATTCTGGCTTCCCTAACCTCTCGATTAGTGATAATGTGTGCTCTTTAGACCTACGGCGGGCATTATATAGTTAACCTCATACCCCCGTTGGTCTTCCTCTCCCCTTAGAGTATTCGATTCGGTACTTGTATAGTACGACGAGAGATAGCTATCGGCAGGCGGTGATTAAAAAGAGTTACGTGAACTGAACTGACTAACGAGGCATGAATCAGAAGAACCGACTTCGTTACTTCATGGTCCACCATGCCGAACAATTGATGAAGCAGGTCATCAATGAGCGAGCTATTCAACTCGTGAAGAAGCCCACCGCAAAGGCAGACACCTTGGCGAGCCACCTTAGCCAGCGACCCCGGCACTTAGACGTTTGAATACCCACTTACCAGCCGGCCCCTGAACTTCATAGCAACGACTTCGATCTTCCTGCGCGTATCCCGAGCGCCATGCCTGCTACCTCTTCTGAACCCCTTATAGCCTCTCACCTGCATGGATGATGCCATACTGCTTCGTATTAAGTACAAAGAAACGAACCGTACGGAGAGTGCTGGCTGAAGCTGAGACCTGCAGCCGGCTCTAGGCTGTTCAAGTACTCTGAAGTGACTTGATTGTACGCACTAGTTTCGTTGAAACTCTTGATATATCTAGCAGATTGGCCCGGTTCTGTTGCCGGTCAACTATAGTCTGTCGTTCTTCGAATCAAGCTTTCTTATATGTGGTAACGAATCAAGGCAAGTTGGCGATTCGACCAAAACACTTGTTGAAGTCACGTCAAGAGCTTTTTCCGTCTCTAGTTCGTCTGCCGCGATATGCTCCTTAGACCTAACACCGTTAAAAGTCGATTCGTATTTCTCCTAAATGGTAGATAGGCTCGTGAACACAAAATCCAGAACCTTGGGTCGGTTTCTTTTAGTCTTCACAGCAAAGTCTCCCTGAATTCAAATACTACTTGAACTCATAGACTGAGCTCTTCGCATTCACTTGTCTCCTAGTCAAAATTTTCACCCGAAATCCATCATCAGCCACGCGTCCTAAGTTCAATTCGAGAATCCACTTTGTTTCTCTCCCCTTTTTACTGCTGAGAGAGTATTCTTCATGTATTAAACACTGAGGACAGGGGCCTCTGAGCTATTATTTATTGATCCCGAGCTATTTCCCCAAGCTGCCGGGTCAGGGCCCTGGTCATGAAGACCTTCTATCCTTTGAGCTGTCTCGGTGGTCTGCGAGATACACGAGTACCTGAACGCTAAAAGGCACGGTATGGCAATTAACAAGGAGCTCTGCAACAACCTCGAAGACAATCGAGCGAGCTGCACATGTTGGATATGCTCAGCCCTCGGCGTCTTCTGGACCAGTACAAAAGGCTTCACCAGCTACTTTACGCAACCGTGGCCACCGTGATCTTATGCCTGTCACGCCGAGCGAAAGCTTGAAGATAATGCCGCGTTTCGATCCGAAACAGCCTGTAAACACAATGACGGAGGAGCCATATCTGAGGAGACCTGTATGCCCTCAAGTTCCTGTCCTGGGGAAACCATCATGTCGGTATGTGAGGCGATGCCCTCGGGCCAAGTACTTCACGATGACGATACGCTCTGTTGGCGGCTCATTCGGACACCACATTAAGGGCACCAAGTCTCGGCCAGCAGCAGATTTAGAAGTATCAACGCATTGAAGGGCTCCGATTGTTGCAGATCAAAGTCAGGGGTGACGCGGGAAGGCAGGAAACCATGTCGAAGCCGGTCGTGGAGCAGAAGTCAAATCGTTTCTCTCCAGGCAATTGTACCGCACGCCTATACTAATCGACCAATGTGGACATACCTTGGGGAACATCAGTACTGATTGCATGAGAAGATTCACATATCTGAGCATTTGTTCTTGGAGTTGACCAGGGGACTTCATTGGCAAGACTCGAAAATCTTTGAAATGAGCCAGAGCGATATCCACTCATGGTTTATCCTGAGATGTGCTGAATGTTGAGACCCGGTCATGTCAAGTCAGTCTTCAAAGTCTGTTTATTTGAGGTCATCCACTTACACGAGCGACGCATGAAAACCCGTCCCCCCCTTCCCTCTTACGGAAAGCGTAGTCTTCCTTTTATTGTCCGCTGTCTTTGGAAGGAGCACAATGTATTCACTGTTATCAAGTTGTTAGGAAGTTTTTCATGTTGTCAGGGGCTTTAAGTTTGAGAGAGTCACGTAAGTCAAGTGTGAGTCGGACTGACGACCGTATCCGTATGAGGAAGTCGACATGAAGTTGAAGTTTTGTGATCGTTTGGTCAACCCAGGAACATGCGTGGGGAGGAGCATGCTAGATGAGCACTGCCATCATGGTTTCAGAACTCACTCAAAGGATCGTGAAAGAGATCAAGTTCTCTACCGTGGGGCTAAGACAGAGCCAGCATTGTGTAGATGTTTGATGAGGTTTGACTAGCACGCTTGGAGTATACGATATGCAGAAGCGGCCTGTCTCAGTTAATTACGCTCCGTGGACAAGTTGTTGCTCGGATTGAAAGAGGATCTTACGTGTATACAAAGACATTGGCTTGTAAGTTCGAACTTGCTGGCTCGTCGTTTGTGAGTCTAGAAGTCTGTGATTCGTTTCAAGCAAGCGGCATGGTATTCTTCTCTTGCTAAGCGTGGGTCCGCCTTGATCGCGTAGGTCACTATAACCTAGCTTTGATGCCCTCATTGCATGGTTTGCGCTTATTCAGCACTTCAACTTGAGATATCCCGACTTCTCGTCAGGGGTGTTAAGTTTGGGGTGCTAAGCACCTGTACAAAATATGCAGAGGTGCTGAACCGTACAAACCCTCAGCAATTGTAAGCGACAAATTGAAGGGTGAGAAATGCTCCAGATAGTCAAGTGCTTTCACTGGGTCTTCATTCCAAAAGAGGATTGTGTCAAGAAGCTCATCACCATATCCGTTTTGGAGACAAGCCCAATGACTGACTGAGCGCCCGCAGGTAGTGCCATGCTATCGGACCAGAAGCAGATGACAATGGGTGCTCCTTGATACAATTGCCAGGCCTGTCCCATGAGCTTCTGATATACTGGTTTCTCTTTAGTCGGCGATAACTCATTCATCTATCTTCACTTCTCTGCAGACCCGAACCAGTGCTTGGCAGCAGATGATTGTCACGAAGAAAGCGTTAAGCGGCTCTCCACAGGACATTCCAAGATGTTCAACCACATTGGAAGACAGCTCTTGCCTGATGAATTGCCTACCCGCCTCAACTGAACACCTTGGGCTGGCATGGGCTGCTCTTGCAAGTCTTCAAACGCCACACTGATCGATGGGAAAGCACACGCAGCTAGGCATCTGCCATGTTTCCAGTGATGTACTCAGGAGGCGGGAGGGAGAGACATTCTCTCTTGCTGAATTGAACTTGATTTCCTTTTGCGTCACTGGCGATTTGCTCATCACACTTCAGGGCTCACCAGGCTACCGATAGGGCTTACTCCCACCTCGTATTTCGACATGTCCAGAATACCTCCCCAACAACAGGGCATCAGTCATGGGCTATCGGGTTGAACATGCCGAGCAGCAACAACTTGATCCGAAGGTCCGTCACTAGGCAATGAACGGTGTAGAACAAGTAGTCTCGAGTGAGCAAGAAATCCAGCGACTTACCCGAATCGAAGGTCGAGCCGGATGTAGTCCCTCCCGAAGCACGGCATATGTGGCAGCATCAACAGAGTAGAGCAGGCATCAAATATGACATCCACAACACCTGCCCAGCACACATCGACCACGGATACCAGCATGCGGCATCGCAGCCATCGCGGAACACAGCGTCTGGCACTTGCGGGGAAAGAACACCGGTCAAGCTCCGTCATAGGACGGCGCTGGTGCGCCGTTGGCTGGTCGATAGCCGGATGCCCCTTCCCAACTCACCGTCTGCCTTGTTTGACGGCACGACTTGCCCTTGCGGACACCGAAGCCACGGCCAGCACGGCAGGCATACCTAGTGCAGATTGCTCCTCCTGCGGCGGATGTCCTGCCTCATGTACGGTCCGCGGAGTACCAGCTCCTGCAAATCCGTTGTATTCCCATCTTCCTCCCCATCCCATCGGCCGCCCTACGATATGCCGTCTTCATCACACAACATCCCAACAGCATAAGGTGGCCTGCGTCCAGCTTGTCCCACGCACCAACGCAAGGTCTGTTACCTCAGCCATGCAAGAAACCCCCATTCAGAAGGCCAAAGTACCTGATACACTTAGCAACCGCTCTCACAAATGCTTTATCTTTTCTCCTTCTCCCCACCGCCCACTCTCCTCTGCGATTCGTCCATGCCACGCGTCCCTTGGATCCCACTAACAAGACCAAAGTTACCAAACCAACCGCCGCCATCACGCGCGCCAGATTAGAGAAGAGCTAATGCCGACCGAGACTTAAGCACCGCCCATCAGGTCCAGCTGGGTCACATCTTATACGACCCCCCACCCCCAAAAAGCGAGCGCGAGAAGAAAGACAACGCATTGTCTGACCCAACCAGCAAGAAGCGACGGCGCATCTCGAGTATCCCAGCGCGAAGGAGGAACCCGCATGACAGGCCTCCCTCCTGCTGCCTGCTGCCGACCTACCCGCTTCCACCGCCGTCTTGGCAAATGCTTGACTCAATGTCGGGTTCTTCTCCTGGGACCGCGCAAGGCCTCTATTAGGTCTTCCAGCTCGTCTTTTCCTCCGGCTCATCGGACCCGATTAAGGATGCCCGTTTTCGGACCGACAGAGAGACGGTGTGAAATGCTGTAGCCACCTGCCTGGCGGCCAACTCTCCAAAAGGTGGGCTCCGAATCCAGTCACCGTTACCATCCTCAAATGGGATTCCCAGATGGGGGTCAAACCCCGGTATATCCGTGTTTGCCGTCAGAAGGAAGAACATGAGGAGAGGGGGTACCAGCAGGCTCAGCAAGCCCCGAGGCATAACGACGCCGACTTGGCGCGGCTCACGCTCGCCACAAGAACACCGGAGGAATGACGTCTCCGCGCCGTCGCGGGCATGGTCCTGCACCTGCAAAGCAGCACACAAGTACGCGGAAATGATCCACACACCGCCGCCGCCCGCGCAAACTCCCGGCCATGATGGGCAAGGGGAAATACCCGTTGCCAAGACTGTCATCAGTTTTCGGTCCCGCGTCTCTCGATCTCGCAGTGTGTGACGGTCATGGACTAAAACGGATGTCCTGGGGTAGTTGGCCTTTCTAGTTACCCACAACACTACAGCACATGCATTCTTGATTCCCTTTCTTATGCGACGCTATACTAACCTGACCGCTGAGGTGGAATGAAGAAGGAGGATGACGGGGTCACTCGGTGCAGCAGCTAAGAAGCGCCGCTTCATCTCTCGCTGTTCCATCGCCAACTCACGCGCAACACTCGGGAAGGGATGCCCATCGATGGTTGCTGAATCCCATATTTCCCGCATCAGACCGACCCCTTGAAGCGCGTGCATAATCGCGCATGGCCTCTCTTTGCCAGTCGGTTGCGGTCGCGGCCTTCCCAGCGTGGTATTGACGGAAGCCAGCAGCACCACATGCTGCTACTGCTGCTACAATATCAACAGCGAGATAAACTCACTATTCAAGACTAGGAATCCGAGGAGGGGTACCGGGAGAAAGGGAAGGGAGGGGGCGTGTACCCACACTAACTACAGACAAACCAGACACACGGAAAACCCTCCATCCAACGAGAGAATACCGCGGGAAGAGACGCCGTCGAATCACTCTTGCTAGCTGTGAGACTGGAAACCTGAGACGTGGGATGCACACAGGGCTGGGCTGACGGGCTTTGTCGGCCATCAGCTGGTCGTAACGTAGCTCTACTTCAGTCAGCCAGTCGCCCATTTTCATTCCCCCTAGCAGCCCGCAGGTTAGCAGCAATCACTTGCCGAGGGGTCGGGTCGTCGTCGCCCGTCCCAGGATTCCCAAACAGGCTTTTCGCGGCGACCTAGGCTAAGAGATGACGGTACAGTACTTCCAGTCATCCGGGCAGCTCATCGTACCTACACAGTAGACTCTAAAAGGGACGAGGATATCGAGAAAAAGGCGGGGAAAATCAAGATTCATTGGATCCGCCAGCCGGCTGATTGGATCGCATACACATCCGCATACAACATGTTTTCCCAGCTCGGCTGATTCCAGCAGCTTGGCAACGGATCGGTGACGGTGGTGACGGACGTTGCAAGAGAAGAAAACGTCGTGCTCAGGTTGTTGTGTTTCCTTGCGCTGGGTACCGTTTCATTCACCCCTCTCCGCCTCTTCCTCAGCTGAGCCTGCTGCTGCTGCTGCTGCTGCTGACCTTTGTCCCTTGCCCAGCCTAGCTTCCGAGTTTACTTCTCCCGCGACATTGGCTGCCGCTGTTGGTTGTCTGCGCCGCTGGGGATGAAGGAGGTCAAGTACGTCAGGAAGAAGTAAGATAATTATGCTTCGAGGTACTCCGTATTTCTAGAGACATTGCGCATCTGCGGGGGGAGGCATTGGAAGTTTGCCCGAGTTTGATCCCATCCTCTCCCCCCCTCCTCCAGGTCGTATCGAGACAAACTTGGCGAATCCTTCAATGAGAGCCAGATAGTCTTGGGTCTCGTAGGTAGGCACGAGTTCCTCCGATTTCACGCACGCAAGAGTAGGTATACCACACATTAAAGTTAACTTTTGTTTGCATTGTAAACTGCAAGGAGCTTCTTTCTAGGAGTGCTTTTGATCTATCCCGTGACCGACTGTCAAAGAACGTATCGTCCCCAACTCTCTGGTTCATTGTGCCTCCCCTCGGGACGTGGTCCGCCAATCCCTTGTAGTCCCGTTCCCTGCACTACGCGGGCGCACATCACCATTGAACTTCGCTTGTGTCTGGCGCGCGCATAGTATCAAAGAAGGTAATTTGATTATGTACGTCGATGCACCACCCCTGGGCCTCTTCTAGAGCCAGAGATGGCCGTTCTTGTTTCTGGTGTGCATGCACCCACACACAGGCATCTTTGTAAACTCGCAACACGGCATATCATAGCCGATGTTGCTGTTCCCAGGTAATTATGGGCTGTATTCAAACACAAATCAAGGCCGATCCTTTCCACGCCTTATTGGGCCCTTTTCCTGGAGCCTCTGTGAACGCCAATTGTAAAAGTTGAAAAAAAAAAATGTCTTTCTGCATGCTCATATGCTGGAACCGATTCCAAAGGATAGAACCGCAGCTATGCAGAAAAACAAACATGTAATGAGTCGTACAGTCGTGTCCGGGTGCAGTCAATAACCCGACTGGCCTGGCATCTTTCCAAGTGAGTGGCCGTGGCTCTCCAGTGGCAGATGGTTGTGGCAAAACACCCTCTTGGTGTTGAGCTGTGCACTGCCCTTCTTGGTAGCGTCAATGAGAAGAGCTGGGTCGTCGTAGTTCTCAAGCTGGCAGCACTCAATGTTCTTGACCCAACGATGGTTGGCGATTTCCGAGATGGTGGCGCGCTTTGCGGGGTTGGGGTTGAGCATTGAGAGGAGCACACGACGAAGTGCTGGCGGGGAGACGAATCCATCAAAGGCATTGAAGAATGGGTAGTCCGACTCGGTTATGCGCGATCCAGGCTCAGGGTGCTTGGCTTCCCACTTCTGCCATCCCTTGAGCAGCTCAGCATATTGAGGGTTTCCCTTAACCTCGGCCTTACTCCAGATATTTCCTCCGAAAGTCACGTAAATCATGACAATCGCCGCGCTCCACACATCGAGACCTCGCGGGTCATACTCGGTCTCCTTCAGAAGCACCTCAGGTGCCGTGTACGGCTCGCTGCCACACATGCCAGGCTTGCACAGACGGATTTCGGCGCACATGCCCTTGCCACACTGGCCGCCAGCTTCTCTGAAGCCGGGGTGGTGGCCAGTGAAGACTTCTGAGACACCAAAGTCGGTGATCTTGAGCTTGCTGTCTTTGGTGATGAGAAGGTTCTCGAGTTTGATGTCACGGTGAGCAATACCGTTGCTGTGAAGATAGTTGATTCCCTGGACAAGTTGCTTGAACAGGCAGAGGCGATCAGGAAGTCTCGCTGGATCTTGGAGGTACTTCTTTGCAATCAATCCAAAGAGATCACCCTCCGAGCAATACTCCATAATGTGGTTCCAACGACCGTGATCGGTGCAAAGCCGGATCGTCTCGACAACGTTGGGGTGGTGCAAGCTCTTGGCGATGCTGTACTCAGACTTAATCTTCTTCTCGTATTCTTCTTGCGTCTCTTGCTTTCTCTTGGCTCTGAACTCCTTGACCGCATAGAGCTCATTAGGGCACCCCTTTCGGCTCATCATAGTGACCTTGGAAGTGGCACCCTTTCCGAGATGTTTGCCATGGCGGCCAAACTTGGATAGGTACTCAAATTCCGCAAGGAGGTCGGCGACATCGACTTGGAAGTCGTCCGGGAGACTCAAGCTCATGCGTCGAGCCTTGACACCAACACCAGCGTCAGGCATCTGAGCCCATGGAGACGATCCCTCCAAGGGAAGAACAGGGTTATCTGAGTGAGGATTGGGTGCAGACGCTAGATGACGGCTCTTCACGCGGCCCTCGAAACTGCTGGCTCGTCTTCTGCCCAAGACAGGCTTGACCTTCTCGGCGTGCTTTTCCCGTCCGGAAACATTGGCGCCGACGAAGTTGACAGCGCGTCCTCGTAGGTTAAGGCCGGTGGAAGCCCTGTTCTTCTTCTTGAAGTCATCTTGAGTAGGCATGTGCGAAGACTGCTTGTAGGAAGAAATGGTGTCTACAGGAGAACCTGGAGACGGAGGTGAGTTAGACCTCGTGGTAGTGTGTGACTTGTTCATTGAGAATCGTCTACGATTTGAGGGTGCTGTGTCAATCAATGCACTCTCGGAGGAGACGTCGTTGGACTGGTCCAAGGTAAATCCGAGATCTGGTCTGTTTTGGGATGAGTTGGATCGTCGAAAGATGCTGGACATTGTCCGCTTAAAGCTTGAAGTCGAGCCGCGAGTGGGCCGTCTTGACAGCGGAGTTGGTGGCGGTTCTTGGTCAGCAGCAGATTCGGCTGCAGTTGAAGGGTTAATAGCAGTGGTAGCTTTCGGTGTGAGGTCTGACTTTGCAGGCGAAACCGAAGGTGTGGGTGCGGTGTCAACCAAGAGAGGCTTCGGAGTGGTCTGCACCTGGTGGGCAGCGGTGAGATTGATGTCGTGATGGTCCTGACTAGGACGGGTGGTAAACTCTTGGGATTGTCTCCCACTGCTGATGGGGGTCACAGGTTCATTCGGAGACTCGCTTTCGGACTCATCGGCTTCTTCGAGGATGGGAGAAGTAAGATCGGTAGGAAATTGACGGGGAGACGAGGACAGGCTACTCGAGTTTTGTTGCTCGGCGGAATGTTGCTTGTCTAGAATCGCAAGCGTTTATTAGCGACGGACGCCTTCAAGGGTGCTGCGGACGGAAACAGGGCGGGTTGGAAACAGCTGCTGAATGACGGAGGTGCAGCCAGGGTGCAATGACCACCAGACGTGTGTGAACGTACCTTGGGGGATGGGAGCGGGCTGGGGCACCGCCATGCTGGTGCTGGTGAGGACGGTCGCCATCGCTGTTCGGAGTGTGGCCGGTGGGCACAAGGACAACGGAGGAGGGTGCTCTGATCAAGGATGGGCCAATACGTAATTGGGCCACACACCACCGAGAGAGAACGCTTGGTGCTGGTGCTGGTATCGGTACCAGTTGGTTTCTGGGAGGGCCAAGTCGGTAGGTAGTATAGTCCGCGGCGTTTCCGAGGGGTCTCCAATTCTTTGGCCTGGGCCTTGACGAATGGAGGGGGGGTTTGGTTGGGCGACGTGCGAGTAGTGTGTCCCCCAATTATCGGTCCTGAAGCACCAACGTGAAAGTCGAACTAAGCGATAAGTCGAGTCCAAAGCTGGCGAGGTGGGTTTATTGTAGGAGAAATCGGGAGGCTTGTAGGCCAAAATCCGAAGACGCAAAGGAAAGGGAAAACAAGAGAGTTGGGGTTTCTTGGTCTTTATCCCATTGCTTGAGGCTGCTGCATGCGTTTATTCTGCGTCGGGATGTTGTCCGGCGTTGGTGGATTTCTGTGTCGAATCAGAACCACGACGAGGCTTTTTCGAGTACAGAAGCGACTGCAAAATCAGAATAGCTAGACTGGCTCTGTGATCCGTGTATACGTCCTTGTCGAACGGGAAGCTGTACGTGACTGCACACGCGAGCGTATGCGGTTCTTGGTGTAAGGTGTTGGGAGAAGCAGGCAAGGTGAAAGTCGGGTCCAGGTCCTTGTCGAAGGAATTCGTCTTGGTATCAGAGTGACTTGCGTTTGGTTTGTAGAAGACTGCAGGTGCCAGAGGAGGTATATGTAGAAAAGCAAAGTGAATTGCCGATCGACGTCTTTTTCGTTGGTGAATGTTGTCTTGGTATTGACCAAGGTAGACGACCGTGATGAGGTAAAAGTTTGAGGTGTTTGGGATGGATATTAGTCGAGGATTAGGTCAGAGGAAGAGTAGAAAGAGAGGAGAAGAGGGCATGAAAATAATTCAGGCGTCCATCCTTATTCCGTCCTGGTCTTGGGAGGTGGGAAGGCTGCGAGTTTTGAATCGTCTCGCAGGGGAAGATAAGTCGCGGTAGTAGGGGGGATGGAACGGGTTCTCGATTTGGATGAAGACAAGCTCGAAGAAGGACCCCGCCGCTGCGCTTAGAGGGGCGTGGGAGTTGGAAAGAGGGAGAAAAAAAGACGCTCAAGAGAGAGAGAGCTATTTTCCGCTTCGGCCGGGTGTGGGAGTGGAAGATTGTACTGTATGAAAGTGGATGGGGGAAAAAGTTGGGTGCACCAAGTTGGAGGACTAGGGACTGTGGACCGGGGGAAGAAAGTGAGAGTGGAGGGTCTGCAGTTACAGTTGCAGATGTGCAGGTGCAGACAGGTCAAGGTCAGTCAGGTACGGGGTACGAAAGCGCGGGTGGAAGAAACGCCATGTATCTTTTACTTTTGTTGTTTTCTGGCACTCGCTCACCACTCTGCGGCCAGCCCCGGTTGGGAACCTCGAAGAAACGATGTACGGATAATCACAATACCTTAGACGGTAGGTACTGGATCCTTTGGTGGTGAGACTGAGAAGGGATACTCCGATACACTCACAGCAATTAGAAAATGGCATCCAATGGGACGGAGAGGTTCTGGTGGCGGCATGCTTTCCTTCCTCCTGAGGCCTTCTTGGAAAACAGAAACAAAAACGGCAAGTGCACACAGGCAAAAGGGAGGCAGGCAAGAGCAACCAACAAAAAAGTAAGTACCTACCTTACCTTTTACATGAAAGATGGAAGCCAAGGCAAGTACGGATACCTTTCCCTCACATCTACACTGCTTCCTCTGGAATACATGCTCCGTACACACATGCCACTGCGTTAATCTCATCGACGGCATTCTGGGCGATGCAGCAAAATGAAGAGCAACGCTTGGCATCCTCCATCCTCTCGACAAGCGTCAACGAAAGCAACAATAATACAACCTACGCTGCAGTTTCTGTCCACAAGTTCTAGCCAAGCCCAGACTACGCCAGTGTCCAATATCCCACGTCCATTCAGCAAGCCGTATTCGCGAAGGTTGCGGCCAAGACGGTGCGCAGCCAAGAAACGACCATAGACACAAAAGAGCACGAAGCGTTACCTACCAGCAACAAATTGTCACTCAGTATCCGTACGCACTACGTAGTAATCTCTACCTTACCTCACGTTTGTCTACAGATACTCCGTACCCAGTACTCCATACACAGCATGAATGATGGGATGGGACCGGAGAACGCCCTCGAGTGGGGACCGTTTCTCTGGGGGCACTTGGGGCTTCCATGCACCCATCTGAGGGACCCACCCGACTGACAAGACACCCTCATCTCACAAATTCTCACCCACCTGGCTCGCTCACTCTCACCACTCTCTCACTCTCACTCTCACTGCTCAGTCCCGGTTTACCTCATCAGTCTCTCTTCCATGCTTCTCAAACCTAAGCTCACGGTTCACCTGCAAAGTACAGGCTACGGTCCCTCATCGGCCCTTGTCACCCAAGGGCCAACACCGACGAGCCCTGCCCTACCCTGCCATCCGGATCCTGTCCACCCCTCCATTTTTGGTCTGGTGCTCTGTGCGTCTAGCTTGCACTGCACCTCAACCCGCGCACCAAAGCACATCAGACGGGACGGCATTCTGTGCCTATCATCGGCTGCTGCACAAGACTGGAGCATCACCCTGCGACTTCGCACCATGCAGTCCTTAAGCAGTATGCAATACTCCCTCCTCTGCCATTCGCCCAAGGCCAAGGCTTCACCACCTCGTGGTCCGGACCTGGCCGAGGAGAAAAGTGATTGAATTCAGAGACCGCGGATCCTGCCAGGAACACAACCATGAAGTGGCCACCAGGGCGAACAAGAATCGCCCGAAACCGCGGGTCGTGGAACCCGGAAAGAAGCCCCAATGGAACATGAAGAAATGTCCAACTACGTGTTTTTTTCTGCTCGACAAGCCGACGGTGTCAAATTGCCAACCATGACAAGCAACGATCAACATGAGCGGGTACGGAGACCGTACGGAGACCAAAAAAAACACCAATGTCTCCCAGAAGACTTCCTAGGAGACATCGTCTTAGCCAATCTAGTACGTACACACTGGACATGTATCTGTAACAGCAACTGTCATGACAAACAAGCGTCGGTGTTGGCATTAGCATTCACGCAGTGCCTTGTGTGTATTATTGGCACTGGCGGCGTGGCGCTCGTCACTGACTGACAAGCATTGGCGAGCAACACAAGCAGGCTGGCAGCTTCATTCTTGGCCATCCATGTCTTATTCCACAGTAATTACCATAGGTATTGCCAGCGTACGGGTACTAATTCAGAGCAGTATCCTCTCATATGCCGCCTACGGCCTGCGAGCCTGAAGTGCCCTGAACTGCTGGGCTTGCTGCGGGTACAGAGTACGGATGAGGGGGGGCGTATTCGTGGATGCGCCGCCGGCCCCAACGTGTGTCGTGACTACAGTCAATGATCAATCCCAATTGATACAGCACAGTACAGCACAACGCCAGCACCACCACGGGGTTGACAGGCGAGACAAGATCAGAGGGCGTGAACGGGGGTCCTTGGAACAGGAGCATGGGGGTTCCAACTCCGACTCGTTCCTTCACAGACGGACGAATGAGACACCGCTGGAGGTTGTGTGGGGTGAATGATGCGATATTTGCTTGGCTGCAAACCGCTGCTCTGCTTCTGTGCGGGAGAACCACCTTTTCACTCAACAGGACTGGTCCAAGTGGTTCCTTTCCTCGTCCCTGCTTTTCTCTGGAACCGCCTATGGCTTGGTCTCTGGAGAAAAGGAAATGCGGAATGAGTTTGCCCTCGCGTATCTGCGTAGCGCCGCAGGAGCCCATCTAGGCCTTCTGTCTTGCTGGTTTTCTCTCCGTGTATTTCTCTTGTCGTGTGCCTCACTAACCTCCGCCGCCGGTCCCCTCACATCTTGCCCAGCCAACGACGGTGCGGCAATTCATCAGTTATCTGGGAGTTGAGGGCTGAGGCGGCGACTCCAGCACGAAAGCATTGGCCGCATCCGCTCCAGGTACTCGAATCCACAGCACGCGCTACACATAACGGCATCCGCATATGCAATCCACTCTGCACATCCATGCCAACCCGATAATGACGATGGCACGGATGGGTTCTTTGCTTCCTTTGGGTCGTGGACTCCTGGGGGAAGGGGGGAGGAGCCCATATCGTGACCCTGACCCGCACAATATCCGTATTCCCGTGTTTCTACCCGTGTACGGATATCTATCCACCAAATGGATTATGGGGACTAGGCCCAACGAACGGATCAACATAATGACATTACAATATGACCTAGTCCTGCCGAGGCATCTTGGAGGACGGTCTCCGTTTTCATTTGGATCTTCTTACCTCAGTGGCCTTACCTGAATCTACACTGCAAGACTAACGATGTGGTCATTTGTTGTCCTTGGCTTTCCCTTGGCTGTGACTGACCATTACCATTGACGCCTTCCACCGCCTTAGACTCATTGTCATCTACCAACCCAATGTTTCGTCTTACTCATTCCAGGATCAGAGAAACAACTGGAGCACATGCGGAGGTGGAGGAGCGTAATCCGTCAACCTGGCAATGTCTTGTCTTGGCCGACCCTGGTTGACATTGCCATTGCCCCTGGGTCCCTAGGCCGCACCGCAGTCAGAGGCTGCGGACAAGTGCGATTGCGGCTGCGGCTGCGCTTTCCACATGGATTTGGATGTCGAAAAATGCCCTGCCTGTCAATTCATGTCTCAGAGGCGCATTTCGAAAGCCTCCAGCTGACGAAGATGAGTGCGAAGCAAGTACTGAGGCAGACACCTTGGTTATGTAGTAGCCATGAAATGTAGCCAAACATATAATTACAGTTTGCAACTGGTCGAATGCGTTACAAAACAACGTAAGCTCAGGGTTTCACGCCGTCAAGATATCTCGTTCGGGGGCTGCCAGTGAGTCGTGATCATTAACTAAAGATTCAGCCAGATTTACTTGACCAACTTTACACAGGGCACAGTGGTACGCCGATACAATGGAGGTTCAGTAGGTACGGAGTGCATGCCTCAGACACGGTACGTACACAGCAGCGGTATGGCGGTTCGTGCGGTTCGAGATGACGGCTGAGCCTGCTGAGGTAAGAAAGATTGGCTTCCTTCCAATGTTTGCGTGAGACTCGAGAGAAGGAAAGAGGAGGCAAGGAATGGAAATATCTCGGGCTTGCGTATCGCACACTAACGAATACTTGCTATCGCGAAAGCAGGAAACAACGAGAAACAAGAATCAGACGGCAGGCGAAGGGGTCCACGCTCCCCTCCACCCCCTCTGTCATACCTACAGTCATGGGAAGATCCCAGAACGTTAGGTGACCAAAGGCCCTCTTCTTCTGCCATTCTCCATTGTTCCAAGTAATCCATTCGACAGGCTCCTCCAGTTCTGCCCTCCCTCTTCCTCCTAGGCTCCTCCACCTCCACCACCCCGAATCCGCGATTCCGCCCATTGTTACTATCACCCACACGCAACCCTTCAATCCAAGAGAGACCCAATCCGTCCAACCAGCCGCAATCCTCCAGGTGGCCTAGTGGGCCTGTCAGGGCTCTTCCTCGGAGCGCTGTTCAGGCCGGAGGGGCAGCCACACCGTCACTGGGCACTCGAGACCCAGCAGACAGCAGATCGAATACGGTGAGCGATCCCCTAGGCCCGCTGTGGTGTCGGGACCTCGATGGTCAGTGGTCGAAGCGACGGAGTCTCTCCGATAATAACAGCGCCCCAAAGGGCCGACAGGGCCGACTGGCATCCTGCTCGTCGGCTGCTACGGCGCGAAAACAGGAGGGCCTCTTCCGATCACTCAGCACACCAAACGCTCGGCAGACCCGGCACAACATGACGCCCTCGCCTTGAGGATGCTTGTGTCGTTGTCTATCAAGCACCTCGATTCACGTAGTGCCTGACCAAGTACAGCAACAGGTACACGAAGCAAGATGAAGCAAAGTTACTGGTCAGGCAGTTTACGAGGAGCGATAGTGTCACATCAATCTATCAGATGCCGTGGTTTCGCTGGAAAGCAGAGGAAAGATCGGTGAAGCACCAGTTTTCACCACAGCGGCATTTGCGTCGAAAGCATCACCTCGAAACCCTCCCAGGTTCGCTATGGCAATACGCACGACGGCAGTCCAGATACTCGAGCGTCTACTAAGAACGCCTTGCATCGTCCATCATCTTGTCACCGCCAGGAACAGTCTAGCACCCGGACGCCACATCCTTGTCAGTGGTTATTCGGCTGAGGATTCTCGACTACGGACTAGACTTTTCGTTGTCGCTCTCGCTTGTACTGGCCCAAGTGACAAGAGCCACCCCGAATCCCGATAGACTTTACCAACCCCCAGATCTGGTCGAGCCTTGTTGAAGGGCCGAAAAGTCAATGGAACTCGAAGGGTGCTTGCTGAACTCTCAATCAGTCTGTGTTCGCTTCAAGCTCCTACCGCTGTACACCTCAGCAACCACCACCACCAGTCGTCATCTCGGTCTTGGCTTGCTGTCTGGTGTCATGATTCTGCATCTCGCGGACGACTGCGTTGAGAGGAGGGTTCAGTCTGCTCTCGAGTCTTGGTTGACCGATCGGCCTTTCTGCCAGGTTACTACTCACTCTCGTGGCCAAGACCGCGTTGACTGCTCCAGGTCCCCAATTGTTTATGGATCGCCATTCGATAAACGCTATCGCAACTTGCTAGGGGTTCCTGGTTTGAAGATAAACGGCCCTAATATGAACCCTGCGCAAAGCCCCAGCATCTCCGTACACTGTTTGCCTCGAGTCCTCAGGGAGTACAGAGCACTCTGAATACGTACCCTCTTTCGTCCGTCCTCGGAACTCATTTCTCACATTACTCCAAGCATTGCGTCGATTGGCCTTCTTCTTTATGTGCTACAGGCGACGGTCACCTGTTGTTACGAAACGCAAAATAATGCGTCTCGACCGCGTGATCAGCTCCGAACCGCCACGTGCGATATTGACTGAAGTTGAAGAAGAGAAAACTCGAAAGACGCGAAGAACCCTTGATACCACAAGCGCGTAAAGCGGCATTCTAGCAAAAATGGATACCAGCTGGGATCGCTCAACGGGTTGCCGACTCTCCGATACTCCAGCCGCCTCCCTTGAACATGAAGTATAGATGACAGGGATATACTCACGATGCAAGTGCGTCATGCTCCCCAGACCATGGTGGATATGTTCAAGTCGGTCGCACCAATGCCGGGCATTGGAAACATCGCCTTGGACGACACATGATATCCATTACCGTCTTCACCTGCTTACCGCCTCGCCTCACCTTTCTCCGAACCGCGATAATCATCCGCTGGCCGCTGTTCGCAGATGCATCATGGCCATTACTCCGGGATAGACACAGTGATCGAGATTTTCACATGATCATGAGGAGACTTTGAACGGGTGTTGAGTTGTCTTACCCAAACAGACGGCAAATTCCTTGGTCTCACCGTTGTTGAGATGACAAGACAGATTGTAGCGGGCTATGCCACCGTCTGATGCTCTACCTCTCGCTCACCACTAGCACGGGCACTGCGCAGCCGCCCTTGGCGGTGCTTCACCACCAATGTGTTTGCTACCATGAAATTACTTCGGAATGGGACAAGATGTTCCAGGAGGTTGTACTCGCCAAAAACACACAAGTCTCAGGCGCGCTTCGTCACAGCCCTGAGCAAAATATACCGAGCGGCGCAACTGCTACTGGCACTGGCCCGTATGAGACTTTGACGCGGCAAAAGCTTCTGCCCCCGGGATATTGTCA